ACAGCTGCCCCCCAACCCTCTTCCTTTGCTGATGATGTGCAGTAATGAGAGATAAAATGGTACAGTCCAGGAATGACTCCACTTCCTCATGTGAATTCCCTGTGATAGAAATGTCATCATCATCCCCTGGGAAATGTTTCCCTAACTGTGGTGCCCACATGTGACCTCCTAACATTATTGCAGGGGTCCCTGTTTCTCCCTGAGCCCTCCTCACCCTCCTCTTCTCTCCATGGTGCAGTTCTGGCCTTTTACCCTGGATCTCCCTTGAAAATTCAAAATCCTTCTAAGTTTGTATGCAGAGTAACAAATGCCTGTTTGTCTCATCTTCCCCAGACTTCCATGGGGGCAGAGGGAGGGAGAGGATCTCACCTTTCAAAAGCAAAGAATCAATATATTCTTCAAAGCAAAGAGCCATGCCACTACACATGTCTTAGAACAGCTAAAGTTTAAGAATACTGACAACTTGCTCTGGTGGATGCAATTTAACTGCAATTCTCCTACAATGCAAAATGCCACAACCACTCTTAAAAACAGTTTGGCAATTTTTTTATAAAGTTAAACACACACCATATGACCAAAAATCCCACTGCTGGGTATTTACCCTATAGAAATAAAAGCTTACATTCACACGAAAATATGTACATGGATGCTTATAGCATCTCCATTTATAATCACAAAAATTGGTAACAACTCAAATGTCCTTCAAGAAGAGAGGAGATAAGCAAACCATAGTACATCAATTCCATGCAAGACTTGGCAATAAAAAGAAGCAAGCTGTTGATACAACAAATTGGATGAATCTCAAAGGCATTATGCTGAGGGAAAGAAGTTAATCTCAAAAGGTTACCTACTGTGTGATTTGTTGAGACGAGATTCTCAGAAAGACTAAACTATGGTGACAGAGAACAAGTCAGTGGTTGCCCATGGTTAGAGGTAGAGGGAGTGTGTCACTATACAAAAATAACATGAGGGAGTTTTTGGGGGGGTGATGAAACTGTTCTGTACCCCAGCTGTGGTGGTGGCTTCACAAATCTATACATGCATAACTGTGTTAAAATTTACAGAATAGTTCACTCCAAAAGGTCCATTTTATTGTATGATCATTAAAAATAGAGACAAAGGAAAGAGGACCATGCTGAACAGTATCACAGCAGAGATGAGGAGGTGGGGGGCCACCAACTTTGTAGGACACTAAATCCACAAGACAAATGGCCAAGTTTCTTCAACAAATAAATTACAAGGAATAAAAAAGGGAGATATGAACCAATTGCAATGCATGAACATGATTTAGAACCTGATTCAAACAAGTGATTTTAATGAAAACATTCGCAAGATATTATGAGAAATGTGAACTTGGACAGGATTTTTTTTAATTTTTATTAGAATAGAACTGACACACTGGACTGGATTTTTTTATCATATTAAAGAATTAATGTTTATCCTGTTAAGGGTGATAATGTTAATATGGTTATATTATTTAAAGAGTCCTTATCTTTTAGAGAAACTTAAAAATTATGTATGAATAAAATGGTATGCTGTTTGGGACTTGCTTCAACATAATCTGGAGGGGTGAAGGGAGTGGGGAGAATAGAAATGAAACAGGATAATGAGTTAATTGTCGAGCTGGGTGATGGATACAGAAGCAAGCATTCATTACACTATTCTCTCTATTTTTATATTTATTTGAAATTTTCTATAATAAAAAGGTTTTTAAAAAGCTACTTCCCTTAAGATTAAATATAACACCTTTCTCTTCTATTATAAATAGGTCATTTTTCCTTTATAGCAGTTTTTCTTTCCAGTACACCCAAGCAAGGACAGCTTTGCATATAGCTCACATTTACAACTGGCCTGAACATGGTCAGAGTAATAAGAAGCTGGATGCCACGATCACAATCCAGAAATAATTTGACAGTTTAGAGCTTGAGCCAAATATAACAAGAAAGATTTAACAGAGACTAATGTAAAGTAAAACCCTACAGATGTATTCAAGCAAGGCAGCTGTATGATTCAGCATGGGGCAACACAGTTTCTGAATGGCTTGTATAAAATGGCACCAGCTCAGGATGAGTCAGTGACAGGAAGGACCTGCCAAACTCACCTACAAAGTTGGAGGATACACAACAAGAAGCCCCATGCCCACTCTTTTCCTGGGCTAGTCAGGCCACTCTTGGAAGTCTGGGTTGGGTTCCAGAGGTCCAGAGGATGAAGTGTTTATGGGAGAGTACCCAGGATGGCAGAGGCACCCCAAAGCAGAGTAGGAAATGGAAGTATTCCACCTGAAGAAAGAATCCAATGAAAGGAAAATCCATCCTCAAACATTTGTAGATTGTCATGCACAAGAGAACTTAGGGTTGTTCCTATGGCCACAAAGGGGAAAAAAAACTTGGACCAATGAGTGGAATTTATAAGGTAGGACTCAGCCGAGCAACCTCTGTGAAAGAGAGGAGTTACCTTCCATAGGAAGGTGGACTGCTGATTGTGGAATGGTGTTTTAGAGAAGACTTCAGCGTCTAAATGGGGATTCCTTTTCAGGGCCTCTGAGGTCATTTCTAGCCTTGAGAGTCTGAATCTTCAGAAATTAATTGACAGTGGTAAACCTTGAAGTAATAATGGTAATATCTCCCATTTATTGAGTACTTGTCTTATTCTAGGAGCTGTGCTCTAGCTCTGGCATGCATTATATTATTTAATCAGTCAACAAGTAAACATTTTCTGTCCAGTATTACATAACATACAAACAATATATGACATAGTCCCTCTCTTTAAAGAGCTTATAATCTAGTTGCTAATCAAAATTTGCACACATGTAGTACAATATCTATATGAATATTTTCATTTTATAAAACACTTTCATTTGTATATTATTTCATGTATTCTTTGAAACATCCCTGAGAGGCAGATATTATTTTTATTACCACAATACTAACAGCTAATATCTTTAAATCACTCTCTTCCGTGAATGCCCCGTTTCCAATTTGCTCATTATGAGCTTAGCTACAATCAAGAGAAGACTACCTTCTCAATTTTCCTTTTTTTTATTTCCCTCTCATCCCAATAATAAGGGAGTTAAATAAAAAACAATAATCTAGGGCACCTGGGTAGCACAATCAGTTAAACTTCTGACTCTTGATTTCAGCTCAGTTCATGATCTCAGGGTCGTGGGATCAGGCCCCATGCTGGGCTTGGCACTGAGCATTGAGTTTGCTTGAAATTCTCTCTCTCCCTCTCTCTCTGTCCCTCCTACCCCCACCCTGCTCCCACATTCTCTCCCTCTAAAAATAATAATAATAATCCATGTTTTTAAAAAGGAAGCAAGTATTCTAATCATCCAATGAAAAATACTCCCCAGCAGCTGAGGAAAAAGGTAAACATGCTAAATTATGTAAGTTTTTATTATCCATAAAGACTGATAGTTTTTTGTTGTTCTTGGCTTTAAAAGGAACAAAACAAAATGGACAAGGTCTGGGTCTTATTTAAAGTTGAGTTTTGAAACAAATGTTTACTTGACCTTAAGCAGGAAATCTGTGAGCACATGCAAATAGTCAGAACTAAAGGTGAGGCTGAGAAGTCAAGTTTGGAGGGAGTGATGACAAGTGTCAGCCTCTTGAAATAGAAAAGTCTCCCAGATAGCTGGACCAGATTTCAGAACCAAGGACAGAGCAGGGATCTGACTAAAGTAAGCACCTGCCTTCAAAGACCAAAGACATTCCACTGTCCAAATCTATCATGAAAAAAAAACAAAACCACGCATATGATATTAGTATACAATGCAAGTTACAAGCATGGACTCTAGGGCCCAACTACTCATGTTCAAACCCTGGCTGTACCACTTGCTAACTGCAACCTTTGGCATAGAGTGATCTTTATGCCTCCGTTCTCCTTTTTCTCATCTGTAAGGTGAGGATAAACATGCCTACCTCATAGGATCATTGTGAAAATTAAATTATTTATGTGTGAAATTCTCAGACAATGTCTGAGCAGGTGGAAATTACTAAACAAAACTTGGTTTCATTTATTGATTTTCCAGAGCCTTGAGATCTCAGGTTGTGGGAGGAAAAGGGAGGCAGAATGCAGCAGAGTCTTACTGGGAAAGGGGGAAACTACCATTGAATCATAAGGAATGAGGACATAGGAACAGCTTTTAACCATGTTCTCCCACCACTGTGACCCAAAGTCCCCAAAGGAGGCAATAAAGAAAAGCTGCCCACTGAGGTGACCCAGGCTGGGCACTGCAGTTAGTCAGTTGGCTGTCACTGAGCCAATTGGAATTCTTGGCAAGGATCACTGGTGCCAGTATGAGAAGTGTTCCAGCCCCAGGGTGTGGCCTGCCCTGAGATAGATCCAGAAAGAGTGAAGCACAGCATCCAGTTGGGCAAATCGTAAACTCTGACCCAGTTGGCTTACCCCCAGGGACTCCCTCAGCACCCTCACCCTCTCCTCATCTCTCACTCATTCCATGCACAGCTGCTAGCATAACTTCCTGCAGGTCACATTTTGAGTGTGTTGCCCTCTGATTCAGAAAACATCATGGGTCCCTATTACTCTGAAAAACTCAGAGAGTCAAATCCATCATCATATATTGCAGTTTAATGAAGAAAAAGAAACAGAGCAGAGAGGAGGCAAGGCAGAGTTTATATACAAGGGGACAATAAGTGGTAGTGGGATGAGTGATGGGTTCAGGAACAAACTCCTAACTTGACAATGTCTACCTGGGCCCCTTCTTGGTTTTGAGCCTCCAAGCAGATGAGAGTATAGTATCACCAACCCTGGGGAGAGAGGAGCAATTGTAGAGAGGTGTGGTTAAAGGCAGGGGAAATTTCTACAGTCGTGCATCAGGGCTCAGTCTCAGTATCTGATGCAGGAGCGCCTGTCATTGCTGGTGGTAGTCTGCACAATCCTAGCTGAGGAGGAGGAGGAGCTGCCCAGTCTGGGACTATGATCTGTGGAGGTGCTTGTGCTTCTGGACTGGATGCCCTTCCCCATGCTGGTGGACTCACTGTCCCCTCGGATGCCCTGGTCACCTCTGTTGCCCCAGATGCCATTGCTGCTGCTGCTGCCCCCAGTGCTAATGTTCTTGCTGCTGGGCATGTGGCTGACCACAACTGCAAAGAAAATGGGCCGCTCAGTGTCACCAGTCTGTCTAAATGTCCACTGCATGCATTCCTATCTAAGGAATGAGTGGCAGAGAAAAATCCAAAAAGAGGAGAGACCACCCTCCCATGGGAGGGAGTTCTTTGTCTGAAGGCAAATCCAGGACATGAACTGCACAGGACATTAGATAAGTCCTACCCAAATATGGCTCTCCCTTTGCCCCTCTCTTTCTTTTACTCCGGCAATCAGGCTATAGAAAAAGCAATCTGTGGGTAGAGGAGCTGAAGCAAAGTCATGAGAATTCATGTCAAACAATAGAAATGGAGTGCATAAGATACTCACGGATGCACACTGGGCTCTGACACTCCCCAGACATCCTGTTTAGGAAAACAAAATAAATATCATGGAAACCTCATGGTGGTTCCTCTCAGCATCTCTGTTCAGAATTATCCTCTGGGATGCCAGAGTACAGTAATATGAGCTGCAGCATCAGGGATTTAAGTTAGACATGAGAAGGGTTTCCCTGGGGTTCTAGGATGGGGATACAGAGAAACAGAGATATAATGTGTCTCTGGATACTTGACTCTGCCAACACCTTGGCCTTGGTTCCCTCACTGGCAAAACTGGAATAATATACTTCTTCATCAGTTTGTTGAGAAGAGTAAATTAAGCCATAAAGAATGTCTAGCACAGTGCCTAGCCTATACCAAAAGTGATGCAACTCTTATCTGTGCCAGAAATGGAGAGGCAAAGAAGAGTGACTGATGTGGAGGGAAATGGAAACCAGTTTGGAGAATAGGAGAAGCAGGCTACTAGGACCACCTAGTACCCATCTGTATTCTCCCCCATATCAGGATTGGCTGGCATTGGCCTTTGGGGTGCACTACATGCCTGTTGGGAAGCTCTAAGCATTCAGGTCTAACAAATAAAGTTGGTGTCCCTGAGCCCAAAGACGAGAGTGCTAGGCAGTATAATTCAATTAATCAAGAATTTGTTGAGACACTCCTTTGTCCCCTCCCACTGTGTCTAACCAAGGACCATACAATCCTTTGAAACTTGATTCTCAAGTTGTCCTCCTTGCCTTGGCCAGAATCCCTACCCACCTGCACTCCTCACCATCCAGCATCTTCTTGTAGGTGGCGATCTCCACATTCAATGCCAACTTGATGTTCATCAGCTCCTGGTAGTCACACAGGAGATAGGCCAAGTTCTCCTGGGCCTGCTGCAGGGCCTTCTTGAGCTCTGCCAACTTGGCCTGAGCATCTTTGAGGATCCATTCACCCTGTTGTTCAGTGTCAGCAATTGTTGCCTGCAGGTTAGTATTCTGAAGGAGAAAGAAGAGAAGGATTGAATCTCTAAAATTACCTGGGCACATGGCAGGTGAGCACAGGTCTCCATCTGTCTTCTTAATGAAAACTTCTAACTTGCATGCTGTGTGGTTGACCGTGCTAACTTCTTCTTCCCATATCATTCATATCCATATAGCTACACTATGTTAGGAAATTCCAATGGTCATTTGAATCCTTACCCAGAGATATTGATCATCTGCTTCCCAATCTGTTAAAGAGGGATAATCCATGGTATGAGACCCCAGTAACTCAGTCCCACATATTTCATGAAGTCTTGGAGCCACAACCAATGACATGAGGGAAAATCATTCTATCTTGAAGATGGTGGGTGGGAGTAAAGGTAACATACATGAAGCCATCGCTCTGTATGGTATTACCTTGGAAGCTCCATTGTAGGTTCCAATAAGGACCTGAAAGGCTTTCCAGCCTGCTGGGTCCAGGTGCCCCTATGGCATTTCAGAGCACCACTGTCATCAGAGTTACCATCCCAGGCCTTGGGGAGTCACACTCACCTGCTTCTTGATGCTCTAATCTTGGCCCGCAGCCTCTGGACCACCCTGTTGAGCTCTGCAATCTCATTCTTGGTGCCCCTCAAGTCATTACCATACCTGCTAGCTGTAGTCTGCAGCTCCCCAAGCTGGAAGGTAATGAGCAGTTAGGGAAAAATTATCCCTAACTCTCAAATACATGTGTATGAAAAGAATAGAGGTGCAGTCAATCCAGAAAGTCCTAATATTACATGGAAGTCCACCAAGCATTTAGAATGGAAAGGATCACTTAACTAAAAATCACAGTTGCCTTTAAAGATATCAGGCAGTAGAATGAAAAACACTGCAAGTTATAGGTATTTGTGAAAGATATTTCGATGGGTTTCCACTGAACAAAGTGTGCATTATCTGGGATGGTGCCAGGAGGGGCTAGAGGTAAAGGAGCAGGAGCCCTGGAAAAAGCTTGTGAGTCTAGACTGATGAAGGGACCCTTATTTACCTTAACCTGGTATAGCCCCTCAGCTTCTGCCTTGTTCCTCTGGGAGATCCCCTCATACTGGGCCTTGACCTCAGTGATGATGCTGTCCAGGTCCAGATGCCAGTTGTTGTCCATGGACAGGATGATGGACATATCACTGGATTCCAACAGAACCTGGTTGTACTCCTACATGCACACAGGAGCACACCATTGGGCAGTGTCACCAACTCTCTAGGATGCCCTGAACCTTCCAAGCACTGACTCAGGAATGTTGTGGGGTCTAGAAAACTGAATCTTACTGAAGGGAAAGGAAGGTGACAAGACAGTGATCCAGAAACCAGGCAGCAAGAAAATTCCAAGCAGGTGGTGAGGGATTGCCCTTAACTCTCCTTTTACACATTTCCCTTGGGAGTCTATGTACATGCAGATTCTAAAGGCATGGACTGCAGATTCTGAAAGCCCGAAGCCATGGGAAAGAGAAGAGGGAGAACATAAGCAATATGATTAAGGAATTGTAAAATTGAAGAAATGAAGAAGAAATAGGGATAAAGATGGGAAAGACTTTGCAAATGTTTGCTGCCAAATAGATTTCACAAAGGAAGCTGAATTCCCCAGAATCAAGCAAGATTTGATACCCCATGTCATGGCTTCCACCCTAGAAGACAGTATAGAGGTCCTTACAGTTTCTTTTTTTTTTAAAGATTTTATTTATTTATTGAGAGAGAGAGAGAGAAAATGGTAGAGAGCATGAGAGAGAGGAAGGTCAGAGGGAGAAGCAGACCCCCTGCTGAGCAGGGAGCCCGATGCAGGACTCGATCCCAGGACTCCAGGATCATGAACTGAGCCAAAGGCAGTTGCTTAACCAACTGAGCCACCCAGGCGCCCCGGTCCTTACAGTTTCAAAGAGGGCTCTCAGAAAGTTGACTTCACTGGTCAGACTCTCCATTTTTATTTCCAAGTCCACTTTTGTCATGTAGGATGTATCCACATCCTGAAAGTAAAAAACAAAGAATCCACCTTCTTATCTTCAATATTACTCTCATTAGTTACCATTGCATTTAATAATATTGATATCATGTTTACATGTTTGAGGAAGCAAAAAACCACTTAAACCAGAACTTACACTTGCAGTAGAGAGTTTTGATAATTGAGTTCAGTGTTAGAAAAGATCATTATTATCAATTTTTGTAGCTTGGATAGTTAGGATGGTAGTTATTAATAGTTGGCAATAAACTGTAATGTGTAAGGACTGGCTCAAAGCAGTTTTGCACCTGTTGAGCCAAACACGCTTGAGAGAAATCTTACCTACAGAAAAAAAAAGGCCTCAGGGCATAGGCTCAAACGCAAGGCTGGCACTGTCCTGGGTTCTGGCCATCAACAACAGGACAACACTTGGAATCCTGCTCTGGACAAAGTTCTATCCAGTCTGACACCCTGGGAAGATGCCACCATCCCCCTCTTCCCTTGTGCCATGGGAGGAGCCCTATGCTGGCTTGTTCTTCCCCACTGGCCTGCTCACCCTCTTCAGAACCATGAACTCATTCTCAGCCTCTGAGAGCTTGTTAAGCTCATTGTCATACCTACAAGAAAGGAGAGAGGTCATGTTCGAGGGTGGCTGAGCCAAGGGTATGTGCACCTGTGTCCAGGGAAAGGTGTTTATTCCAGGAGGTGGTATGTAACCTGGAGTAGAGCTGCAGGTGACTATTCCCTGGATAAGATCAGGCTAAAGCCAGTTGAGTAGCATGCTTTATTACAATTGTAAGGCCTTTAAGAGCACGCTGGCACCCCATTTCTGACACTCCAGAATCCTGGAAATAGAAGATAAAACATGTGATGGAATTGGCACATAACCCCTCGTATCCTTGGGCAACACATTCATGCAGATCTCTGGATTCTCCACTGCAAGGAAATCAGCCTAGTCCTTATGAGCAAAAGCCTGTGGTCATTCCCAAGGCCCCCTCCCACCTACACCTGTTCAACTAGCTGCCCTGGTGGCCCCCACATCCCCTATTTCACTCCCACACCAGGTCTCTTCCCCTTTCAAATATGCCTCCTTTGTCCCCCTTCCAGGAAGCCTCCCCCTTTCAGGCTCCTATAGGTCCTACTGTCTGCATTCCCATCCTTCCTCTTCCCTGCATGAAGGCTGTAGCCCTGTCCCCTCGACAATAGGCACCATGGGGGCTGGATCTTATCTGTCTGGTCCAAGAGTGCCCCCATTGCCCTGCACAGTGCCTGGCCCATGGTGGGCTCATAGGTTTTGTAGAATGAATGGCTGCCCAACTTTTCCTACTTTTGGTGCTGCCCCTTTATGTGGGTCCCTGTATGTGTCCCACCTCTATTGTCACACTGGACAAGAAAGCTTTGTCCCTTAGGACATTCCTCCCATCCAGACCATCTCTTACCCCAAGCTCAGGACAGAGGCCTGTACCTGTGAGATCCAGACAGGGTTTTAAGACACAGACTGTTAAAGTAGCTGCCATTTGTGTGGATGGTTTTCCTCTCTGCTAAAAATGCCACCTGTGTATCAGCCCCATTTTAAGTGTACAGGAAATGCAACCGGATAGCCCATGGGTGGGAGAAGGGACCCAACTGATCAGAACGCCTTGAACCTCCCTTAAACTCCCACACTCTCTTACCCCTTATAAGCCCCCGCACACTCCACCTTGGATGCTTGTGTGACAGCCTGACCCCCTCAGGGGCCTGGGAGAGAGGCTGCATTGTCCTCAAAATAAACAAAACACAGGTGATTTCATTAAGAACTCCACACTTGTGGTAATAGCAACAGCCATCCTAGCTACAAGGAGAGATCAGAATCTGGTTTCTGGTGAACACGGGCCAAGGAAAAGGACACAATACAGTGGGAGGGATAGGGAAGGCCTTCCTTAGAGAGAGGTTAAGAGAGCTGGAGCACTCCAGGCTGCTGTGGCATCTCCTCTGGAAAGAAAGGAAGTCATGATTGGGTGTCAGACCTGAGTCCACTGCCATCTGACCCTGTGTGAGGGACTTGAGTACCTTCTAGTTACATGTGGTAGAAGAAGAAAGAAAGGGAAGGAGGGAGGGAGGGAGGGAGGAAGCAAGAGAGGGTTGGAGCGAGGGAGGGAGGGGACGGGATGAAGAGAGGGAGGGAGGGCAGAGAGGGAGGCAGACAAGCCCAAGTGTACTAGAGTTTACAGAGTTCTTCCTGCCTCTAGTAGGAGCTTACACTGAGCTTGGAACACACATTGGTTCACACCTCAGCATCTGTGTGGACCTAACACCATGCCTTGCCTCTATAGACAGCACCATGGGAATAGCTCACAGGATGGCAAGTCAGTTCTCAAAGATTTGTGGGAAACATACTCATTGCAAGGCACACAAGACAGCATGAGAGCTAAAGTTTAAGAAAAAGCAGGTCTATTCCAGCATTTATTGAGCATCTATTACATCATAGAACAAGGAGTTCAGAGGAAGGAGAAGATGTGTTCTATATACCTAGGAGGCAAACAGTCTGACACTCTCACTCAGAACACAAGACAAGCATGGACAGAGCCAGTGATAGCCACATGTCTACTGCAGTTACAGGAGAAGGAAATGGGAACTGTGGGGGGATGTTAGCCACGGAAGCCTTCCCCGAGGAAGCATCATGAGCCAATTTGATGAAGAAGACAGACAGCATCCCATGTTAGGATGAAGAGACTTGCAGGAACCAGTCTGTGCAGCAAACATTGTAGCTTTATTCAAAGCAGGATTGTCAGAAGCTACTGAAGGCAACACAGGGGAGCATGATATATACACAGATGCAGGGGTGTGTACCAGCCTGACCCGTTGTGTGGGAAGAAATTATGCTGGTCATGGCAACCTGGCAAACTGTGGTGGGTCATAGAATTGGATGTGGTTCACTTCTCCCCCAAAGACCCACCCAGAGCCTTTAGTCTCTCCTTGCTCCCATCCACTCCTACATCGCTGCTAACATGATCTTATGCAAATACCACTTACAACATGTCACTCTCCTACCCAGAAAATGATGAGGCTTCCTGTTCTAGAAGAATGAGTTTCTCTCTTGACCTCTAATGCCCTTCCACTTCTGCCCCTTGCTCCTTCCTCCCTCCCCAGTGCCCCACTTTAATATTAAGGCCTTGCCACTCCCTCCAAACAAATTTCTTGCTATTGTTTAGTGGGAAGTTGGGCCAAACCACCTCTGAGGTTTCTCCCACCCTTGGGGTTCTGGGATCCCATGATGCTCCCCCACTTTTCCTCACCATCATCCATGGAGAGTTCTGCCTCTGAGAGCATGACCCACCCCATATCCCAGCCTGGGGATTCCTTGGTCTTCTCCATTACACTCATCTTCCTCCTCCACCTCAGCCACACACTCAGGGCCATTCCATTGATCATCAAAAAACTGTTCCCTCTTGGAAGCTTAAACCCCAAATCCCCACTCTATGGCCACAACCTTTCATCCTTCAGCTTATTTTCACCTACCTCCCACCACACCTGCTCTTCATTCTTATAAATACTCCCATTGTCTTCATCTCTTCATTTTCTCCTAGTCTGTTAGCCCTCTCCTGGCCTCTTTTCTTTTTCTTCCCAACCTAAGTATTACTCATTCATTCAACAAATACTTTTTGAGCATCTCTTATGTGCCAGGCACTGACCAGATGGTAGGAAATGGAGAACAAAATTAATGCTGTCCCATCCCTCATGGGAAGAGTCTAGTGACCATCTGAACAACCTTCTCACCAACATCCTCCATTTTCTTATGCCACTAACTCTTCCACCATCAGCCTAACAAAGTCCCATGTCTAGGACAAAGCTACAACCTTCCTTTCCCCTCCTATCACAAAAGCTGAGCATTGCTGGGGGAATCACACAAATATGGAATCTGGAGCACAACAGAGTCCTGATCTCCACTTTGGCTGGGTGCTCAACCCCTCCCTTGTCCTGTCAGCTTCTTGTTCATGGCCTTAACCTCTGCCCCAAACTTCCACTACTCTCCTCCAGCCTCTTCACAGTCCCCACCTCCTGCCTGCAGAAGATGACTTGGCTTTCTACTTCCCTGAGAAAATTCAGGTTGTCAGAAGTGATCTCCTTTTGGCATCTCTTCCATGCCTTCACTCTTACCTGCCTCCACACCCACTTTATTTTTCTTCCTCTTGTACGGGGCTATAAGAAGACTTCCTCTTGTACGGGGCTACAAGGAACCACCTCCTCTAGTTCTTCACTCATCAGTTACCATCCTCCCCACCATATCCTCAATCTCTCCTCTATGCTCAAGTCTTTCCCATCTTTAAATTCCCTCTCTTGACCCCATGACACCGTCTTGCTATTATCCTGTTTGTCACTTCCCCTTCTCAACTAAAGATCTCAGAAGGGTAATCCAAATTCACAGTGTCCATTTCCCCATCACTGGTCAATTCCTAAACCAATGAAATCTTGCTCTGCACATAATCCCTGCATCATGGGCACCACACTCCTGAGAGTACATTCCCTGCTGGCTTCCTAAAAGCCAAACCCAAGAGATACCCTTAGGCCCTCATCCCCCCAGATCTCTCTGTGTCTACAGTTGAAACACGGTATTAGTGTGTTGTTACATATAAACCATTGTTTTCAGTATCATTCCACTAACTTTATATTAAAGTTAATATGCATATAACATAATATATATAATATAGTAACTTTACATTAATATTTTTTTAATCTCTTCATTCCTTAAAGGGTTATAATCCACATATTAAAGTTAGTATGCATATAACATAATATATATAATATAGTAACTTTACATTAATATTTTTTTAATCTCTTCATTCCTTAAAGGGTTATAATCCACATAAATAGGTTCCCAGTCTTCATTCTCATGCAACTTGGCAACTTTCTTTTGGATGTGGTGGATAGACCATGGATAGATCCAATTTGTCAGGAATATGGACAAAGCATTCCTTCCTGAAGACAACACACACCCATCTTTTGCAGGCTGAAGTGAATCTAAAACCCTAAGATTCTGTGGGACCCTGGGCCACTGGAGAACAGATTAAAAGAAGTGGTGGTATTATTACTGTCTTGTTCTAGAAAGACAGTGCCAACCCTGGATGAAAGGGTGTAGAGGCAGTCCAACTGCAGAGACTAGAGACCAAAGAGTCAACAAAGAATTAGAGATATTTCCCCTCCTCCCCAGATCTCAGAGCTCAGACACAAAACGACCAGGGCTGCCATGTACGTTTGTGTGGGTTGTGTCCCGTATAAGAGTTCCAGGTCAAGAGTGTGGAAAAGGGCCAAAATGTAGCCCATATTGTGGTCACCAACCTGTGTGCTATGACATGGGCTGTGTCCATCCAGAGTGCAGACATCTTTTACTTTATGCAAAGTGCTGTCCTCTGCCAAGCCTGTGGAGTTGTGTCTGCACAGAGTGGACACCTATTTCTAATTCACAAAAAGACCAGACAGGCCAAGGAGACCTTGGAACACCAGAGCTGGACATCATAATTCTTGGGGCAAAAAGAAACCACTACTAGAAAACCTTTTCTTCCCTTGTATTCCACTGGTCATTGGGTCAGTCAAGCCATGTTGTAGTGAAACTGCCAGAGTTCAAACTCCTAGTTACATGACTTTCATAAGTTGTTTAACATGCTGTGCCTTGGTTTCCATCAATAAGATAAAGATAAAAATACGATCTACCTCATAGTGTGGTTGCAAGGATTATTTTAGAAAAGGTCCTGGTGCATAATAAGCACCCAGTACACATTAGCTCTTAGCTAATGGTGTCATCCTATGTACAATGACAGAAAATCATCCCTTGCATATCAACTAAACATAACTGCCTCTCACCAGGGTCCCGATCAGGTGTGTGTCTGTGTGTTCGCATGTTGTGGGTGGGGGAGGGATGCCTTATTGCTGTTTAGTGTGTTAAAAAGAAAACCATGGGCCCAAAACAGTGTCATTTAGGACAAGTCAGCAAACCAAGACTTAACACCTAACCTAACTGCAATTTTCAACCCCCCAGGAATGTAACCTTTAGCCAGTCAATGTGGAATTTTCTGGTCAATACTAGGAAATTTACTGATAAACCCCCTTCCACTCCTCTCAGAAAGATAACCTTGCCTGGACAATGCATTCCTTGCTAATAAATTCCTTTCTCTCTCTCTCTCTCTTTTTTAATGCCCTCTCTCTGCCTTTAAAACCCTTTCATTTAGTTCAGTGGAGTTCCCCTATACTTGCTAGGTGGGATGCTACCCAATTCTTGAATCATTTAGTAAAGCCAATTAAAT